CCCTCGCAGCTACCGCCCGTGCCTGTCCGCGAAAAGGTTAAGGAGGACCCCGGGAGATATACAAAGCCTTTCACCGACTTCATGACCGCCAATCCAACCATCTTCCACGCCGTTGATGCTGTAGCCAAGGACCTCGAGAAAGATGGATACAAGAAGTTGTCTGAGCGTGACGAGTGGGACCTGAAAGCTGGTGGCAAGTACTACGTCGACCGAAACGGCACCTCGCTCATTGCGTTTGCTATTGGAGACAACTACAAGGCAGGGAACGGTGCGGCTATCGTCGCAGGCCACATTGATGCCCTCACAGCCAAGCTCAAGCCCATTCCAAAGCTCCGAACCAAGGCTGGATACGTCCAGCTGGGTGTTGCGCCTTACGCAGGCGCGCTTAGTGATACTTGGTGGGATCGCGATCTCGGTATCGGTGGACGCGTTCTTGTAAAAGAGCATGGCAAGATTGTTACCAAGCTGGTAAAGCTGGACTGGCCTATCGCGAAGATACCTACCCTCGCGCCTCACTTCGGTGCTGCTGCGAACGGCCCCTTCAACAAGGAAACGCAGATGGTCCCCATTATTGGCCTCGACAACAGCGATTTCACTGGCGCTACCTCCACAGGTCAGTCTGAAGCTGAATGGAAAGCCAGTCCTTTGGGCGGTGAGAGTGCATTCGCTGCTACCCAGCCCGAGAGGCTGGTCAAGGCCATCTCCTCGGAGCTGGGCATCACAGACTGTAAGTACCCAATCTTTTTGACACAATTGGAAGATTTGCTGACTGCCTTCAGACTCCACTATTGTCAACTGGGAGCTGGAGCTGTTCGACGTCCAACCTGCCACTACTGGTGGTCTCGATCGCGAATTCATCTTTGCTGGCCGCATCGACGACAAGCTGTGCTCTTGGGCCGCCATCCAGGCACTGCTCAACTCTGATTCATCCTTGGGTAGTTCCTCGCAGATCCGCGTCGTCGCCCTCTTTGACGATGAAGAAGTTGGTTCGCTGCTGCGTCAAGGCGCGCGCGGCAACTTCCTGCCCATTGTTATCGAGCGCATCGTGGAGCAATTTGCTGAATCCAGGGTCAAGAACACTCTTGCCCGTACGTATGCAAACTCGTTTCTGGTCTCTAGCGACGTCATTCACGCCGTCAACCCCAACTTCCTCAACGCCTATCTCGAGAACCACTCTCCACGCCTCAACATCGGCCCGGCCATTTCCGCGGACTCCAACGCGCACATGACCACCGACGCTGTTAGCACTGCTATCCTCCAGCGTTGTGTTGATGCCGATATCGGTACGCGTAAGCAAGATCCCAAGCTACAAGTCTTCCAGATCCGCAACGACAGCCGGAGCGGAGGAACTGTTGGGCCCATGCTCTCAGCCGCTACCGGCATCAGGGCAATTGACTGCGGCATTCCACAGCTCAGCATGCACTCCATTCGTGCGACTACAGGCAGCCAAGACCCAGGTCTTGGTGTGTTTGCCTTCCAAAGCTTCCTAGAGCGATTTGAGGAGGTAGATAAGGAGTTCAAGTAGGCCCTGGATTTTAAAGGTATGAGGAGAAGGAGCAGGACGTCTGGCAGCGTGAGTATGCTAGCGAGCAAGTGGGAGGAGATGAGTTTCATGTGTGGAGTACCTCTGAGATTGGGTTACTCTACAGAGAAAGAGGTAGTGCTGCGAGGACTTCATCTATAAGCGTGCATCGCAATGGTATTGACTTTGGTTATTTGAGTACTCTCAGGGTGATATGTTGTGATGGGGTTCTTCACTGCCCTCTTCAAGCTTGCATCCTTCACGACGAAGCACGCTCTGTGGCATTTGATGTATTCTAGCCCGTGAGTTTCTCCTCTCAATGTTTACCAAGACCTGTCGCAGGGTTTCAAATTGATGGAGGCACTGTGTATGTGGTGCGTCTCCTCTGTTCTTTCAAAACCAAACACCAGAAGAGCTAGTGTTGCAAGGTGTTGGTCTGACTGCTTCCGCTCTCGGATGCATGTTCTTGAGACTCGGCGGCTGAGATCAGTATGTGACTGATCATGTATACCAATATATCCACAGCTCGCACGATCGATCCTCAAGATTGCAATCCTTCTGATCGATGTTCCTTCTGCACTCCTGTCTCTACTACGTCCGCTTCTCTGTTTAGATTAAAACCCTTACGCATTCGAATGCTGAGTGCATAAGTACTTCAGGAAAGAGTCTCTTCTCAGCTGCTTCTATACTAGCTATGTTTCGAGATTAGAAGTTATACAATTCTCTATCCATTAGTATCGGTTTCTCATTGATTGATCCGAGCTACGCATTTGCTCTTTGCCACCGGTCTTCCACACCACATCCCTAAAGAAACATGTCAGTGTCACTCAGTGCTCTTGTTGCGCAGGCATCTTGCAGACTCTCCTCATCTGCCACGATCGCGGTCCAGGTGTGGGTGAAGTGCCTGAAACGATGAGACGCAAAGGTACAGTCCTCCGCTTCGATACATCCTCATTTGTCTCAACAGTAAGTTTTGCGGGGGTGATGTCTGGGGTCTCATGCGGGAGCCACGGGCGTGACAGCCTCGAGAAGATACCGGTAAGCGCTAGCTGCTAGCTGCTTCGGTAGCGTACCTGCCCTGCATCGTTTGTAGAACGTCAAGCCTGGGGTCTTCTTTCTTCTCTATCGTCCTTGATTTCCTCATCGCGTTCGCGCCTCACGGTTGGTCGCGAGAAGCTTCCGAGTTAGCGAAGTCGAAGGGTTGCCCGTTCCGGGCGATGCAGTATCTCTTCTGGTTCGAGCCAGTTAATTATCCAACATGATAGAGCTTCGGGTGCAAGGCTGGCCCGCTCAATCCCACGAGGTTGGTGGGACGCCCGTTTATGCAGGTATTGCCACTCATCCTTCCAGACTGTCTGCCTCCCAAAGAAGTTATAGGAGATTATAAATAGCCGGTACCGCCCTTCGAGGCATCAGCCTCGTTGGCACTTCATTGCACCCGTTTGACATGAAGCTAATATTGTTTCTTGCTCTTTTGCCCTTTAACGCTACTTCGGCATCTACTCCAGTATGCCGATGTGTGAGCACAAAATCCTTGATTTATGTTCCGCCCGCTGACATGACTCCAGGGTCCAGAAGACAAGTGTTGGCCATCAGAGACAGCGTGGAAGAAGTTCGACCTGCTTTTGGGTCATCGATTGATCAAGACATCACCTTTAGCTGAGTCCTGTTATCCTGGACTCCATGAGAATCGCGCACAGTGCGACTACGTCAACGCCAACTGGCCCACTCAACCGTTTCACACAACACAGCCGCTTGGTCTTGCTCATCCCTGGAACATCACCTGTCCGCCTGTGAACTACTCGGTCGGAGAGCAGCCGGTATCTTGCACACTCGGACCAAATCCAAGGTATGCGGTGAACGTTACGAGTGTTGATCATATCCGAGCAACATTAGCGTTTGCAGCTCTATGGAACATCCGGCTGGTTGTCAAAAGCACAGGTCATGACCTCCTTGGCCGCTCAGATGGATACGGTAGCATCGAGCTATGGCTGCATCACTTTCGTAACGGCATTGACTTTCAGCCAATCTTTCTCGCCACCGACAGATGCTCAAAGTCGGCGTGGAAGGGCGGTGCTATGAAGATCAATGGGGCTTATCAGTTTGCAGACGTCTATGCCGTAGCCAAAAAGAAGAACACCGTAGTCGTCGGTGGAGGTGCACCATCCGTCGGGGCAGTGGGTGGGTGGCATACAGGAGGAGGTAAGCTGATGCCTGAAGCCTCAGGTACGACTAGCTCTGATCTATTGTAGGACACGGACCGGCAACGCGTAACTATGGGGTCGGTGCTGATCAGATCCTCGAAGCGGAGGTTTTGTTGGCCAGTGGTTTGATTGTTACGGCCAATGCCTGCCAGAACTCGAACCTCTACAGAGCTCTCCGCGGTGGAGGTCCTAGCTACGGAGTCATCCTCAGCCTGACGGTTAAGACTCATCCCAACGTGGATGTCATTGCTGTTCAACGTCTCGAAATTGCTCCGAAGACGTCCAACACCTCCGCTGTACTCGACGCCATGGCCATCATGTTCCAAAGCTTCCCCGACATTAACGATGCCGGCTTCGCTGGCTACGGCTATTGGGCCATTAATGGCTATCAACCCCTCTTTGGCAATACCACTGCTGGCTACTACCATAATTTCTGGAACATCGGCAACGACACTGCAACAGCTAGGACGGCTTTCGCTCCAATTCGAAAGAGACTTGACAGCCTCCAGCACATCGTGACTATCGAAGAAAGCTACAAGGAGTATCCAAACTACTGGGCCATGTATGAGTCAGAGTCAAGCTTGAATGATCCTGTCGGCATCACTGCAGTCGTGTCCTCTCGCTTATTCGATAGAGCATCTGTTTCCAATTACCAGAAAGTTCGCAACACTCTTCCAAAGATCATTGGTCCTGCGGAAGAGATGGGCCAGAACACTATCCTGCTTGTCTCTGGCGGCCAAGTCGCCAAAGATGCCGCTGACCCATACTCTGGCCTCCATCCAGCATGGCGAACATCTCCCTTCATGAGCATAGTTGGACGTGGCTGGCTGCCAGGATCCAGCGAGGATATTAAAACCTACGTCCGGAATGATGTGACCAACGTGAAGGGTGCGGCAATGAAGGCACTTGCACCCAACACTGGAGGCTATATGAATGAGGGCGACCGCCTCGATCCTGATTGGCAAAGAACATTCTATGGCCCCAACTACGCAGCCCACTCAGCGACGAAGCGGAAGTACGACCCTTTCGATCTGTTTTACTGTCCGACTTGTGTTGGAAGTGAACGATGGGTCGAGCGTCCCGATGCACCTCTTTGTCGTGCTACCAGCGAAGAGAGTAGTATGGATCAAGCAGGGTGAATGTGAATCCTTAGGCAAGGAACACCCCAGTGCTCTCGCTCCCCCAGTGGTGAATGAGCCTCGGAACCACCCAGCAGCTTCACCTAGCAAAAACAACTACCGCTCCCTCATCTCTTTTCCTCTAAGACAACAAAATGCATCGGCCGGGAATCGAATCGAACCCGGGGCTAGCCGAAACAGTCCTGTTATGGATGGCAACGGCTAATTTTACCACTAAACCACCAATGCTTGATGTGAAGGTGATTCCACGTGATTTGATGGAAATCATCTTTCCATCATTGTTTATATCATGGATAACTCTCTGGTCTATCGGATCTTTAAACGGAACCATTTGTCGGGCTCTCGATTCGCATATCTCCTGGTATCTATTTGGGACAAGATGCACCTTGTGGAGTTGTGAAGCCGGTGGAAGTTGGCCTCGCTTGAGACCCTCAACTTCTCGTTCTAATCTCACCTCGGCGCGATTCAAAGCAAAGAGCTCCGTCGTGCGCGGGGTCGTGATGGTCGTTGCACACCTTCCTATCGAGGACGTACCGAGTCTACCTGCCTCTACAGGCTAGTGATCGTCACGCAAAGTGGGGTACCTTCTATCTTACTCCGGTACCGTAATAACATCTCTGCATGTCCAACCTTTCGTCTCGGGAGGCTTCCGACGACGCAGTTGAGTCGAGAGGTACAATGAAGAACATCAGTGCTGTTGCAGCGCTCAGCGCATTGATCTCACCAGCTCTTGCATATGCAATCCCAAGTGACTACCGCGTCACCAAACCGCCTTTGGCCTGGGACCCCAAATCCACGAACAGTACCCAGCAATTCCGCGGCCTCTCACCCATATCACGCGACGTAGTATGGATCTCAGGAACAAACAGCACTGTCCTGCTCACCACCAATGGCGGCACATCATGGATCAACGCCTCCCCATCCCTCTCGGAAAACTCCACCCTCTTCGAGTTCCGCGACATCGAAGCTTTCTCTTCTAAATCTGCCGTTGTTCTATCCATCGGCGAAGGAAATGCGAGCCGGATCTACAAAACCACCGACAGCGGACGGACCTGGAAACCGACATTCATCAACACCGAGCCAACCGCGTTTTACGACTGTATGGCGTTCGAGAATAAGAAGCATGGGCTTGCTGTGAGCGATCCTGTAGGCGGGAAGTTCAGATTGATCGAGACTTGGGATGGCGGTGCGACGTGGAAGATTGTTGATCCTAAGGGGATTCCTGCTGCGTTGACTGGCGAGTTTGGGTTTGCAGCGAGCGGGACATGCGTTGAGGCTGCTGCGGGACGATGGTACATCGCAAGTGGTGGCGTGAACCCCGGACGTATCTACCGAAGCGATGATGGGAAGAAGTGGGAGGTGAGCAATAATAGCCAGATTGCCGGCGGCACGGCAGCTGGTGTTTTCTCGGTGAGATTTAGAGATAAGAAGAATGGGATTGCCGTTGGTGGGGACTACGAGAAGCCGGCAGGAAACGTCTATAACGCTGCCTGGTCGAAGGATGGCGGGAAGACGTGGCACCAGGCGGAGAGTTTCCCTGGAGGCTACAGATCTGGAGTGTCCTGGGTGCCTGAGCGAGGCCGTACAGCAGTGGCGGTAGGTACGTCAGGCTCAGATATCACGTACGATGACGGCAAAAATTGGCAGACAATTGGGAACGGAACCTTCGATGCGGTAGAATGCGTGAGCAAGGATGTATGCTGGGCATCAGGATCAGGTGGTCGATTAGCGCGTTTGAAGCTTTGAGCCGAGCTGAGCGGTTCTCGAAAACAATTACGACGGAGTTATCCATTGTTCGTCAAATCGAGCATCTTTGGAAGTCGTCTCTATATATCCATAGACATTAAACAATATGTACATTGATGAAGGATAAGTACGCTCTTTGCTCACTCGCAAGCCTGCGCGTTATTGGCGACCTTGGTAGCGGTCAACCATACAGTGATTGTGCTCTTCACGACTACTGTCTTGGTGCCTGGCGGCGCAGTGATTGTGCTTGTAGCAACGTCGCCGCCCTGAGTGATTGTCTGGTACACGGTATGGGTGCTGACAGGGAGCGTGGTACGGATTGTCGAAGTCACATCAGCAGATTTCGTAAGAACGACAGTTTGCTGAGCTGCAGTGATAATCTGAGTCGATGTACGAGTTTGCAGGCTGCTGATTGTTACAGCCGCGGGCGTCACGGTCTGCAACTGCTGCTGTGTGACATAGCTGGTGGACAAAATTGTCGTTGTCGAGGCCTTCAATGTGGTAGTCTTGCCAATTTTTTTGATTGATGTCTCGGTGGCCCAGTAAGTTGAGCCGACCTGCGCGATAGTGGTGGTCTTGACAAAGGATGTCACGCTCAGAGTGCTTGTGGCGCCGGGCTGAGTGTATGTCTTGATCTTGGCAACCGAAGTCTCCGTAACAAGAGCAGTCGATCCAGCCTGGGTAGCTGTAGCGGTCTTGACGAAGCTGGTAATTGCGGTGCTGATCATGATCGTGGTAGTGCTGGCTGCCGCGCGGGGAATGACAGCACCACGTCGGATCATACGAGCTGGCTCGGTAGGAATGCAGGACTCGGTGGTAGTTGTCTTCTTTGTGACCGTCTTGAGCGACACGTTGCTGATGGTGACCGAGCTCTTGGCTTTGATAGTCGTGGTCTTTGTGCTGCTCGGCTCTAACGAGATGGTCGTCTTGATAGTTGTGGAGGCGCCTTTAGGTACGATGCTGCTGACGAACGTGGCAGTGGTCCCCTCGCTTTGCGTGATTGTAGTAGGCTTAGGGCTTGTAGTTTGAACAGAAAGAACGGTAGTAATTCCCTTGATGGTCGAGGTTGGAGCCTTGGCAGTGGTAGTTCCGCCGATTGTAGTAGTCGCCTTGACAACGCTAGTCTTGGTGATAACATCAAGAGTGATTGTGAGACCATCATCCTCAGTAACGACGAGTGTGGATGTGGAGGTAACGTCAGGAGAAGTGTAGGAGACAGTCGCGGTTTCCTTATCAATCTCGGTCTTGACCACGTCGGCGCCGGTAAGCGATGCAGTCGATGTAATCTTGACTACTGTGGTGGACGTGGCGTCGGGCACAATGATGGTAGTGCTCGCTGTGAGCTTGACGATAGCTGTGGTAGTGCTGTAAACCGTGACGACTGGCAGCGAGGAGGTAGACACAAGGCTTAAAGATAGGCTGGAACTCAAAGGAGTACTGGAAACTGAGACCGTCGATGACGAAGCGGTGGCGCAAGTCTGAGCAGAGCCGATTCCTACCGTGAATGGTTGCGTGTCCACGCGAGAGAAGTCGATGAACTTAGTGGAGGCAAAGAAGTTGCCAAGCTGAAATTGCACGACATCTGCGTCCGAAAGCTGCTGCGAGAATGGCGCGCGACCACAGGCGCTCGATCCTGGTCCGTAGTTGTGGTACTCTCCAAAAGTTACCCCGTTGGTATTAGGCGTCGACTTCGACCACTGGTTCCATCCAGCGGCACTGATCATTGAATCGAGGTGGCAATTGACAAATGCCACGCGCGCGTTGCTGTTCCAGGGCCTACCAAGTGCAACGTTTTTGAAAGGACCCGTGCCAGGTGCAGGCTTCAGAGTGCACTGATCGAAGACAAGGCCGCCGGCGGTGGTGTTGAGGGTCCGCTTGTCTGCGGTGATGCTGATGGCGTCTTCGTTAGGCGCAATGTCGCTAGCGAGAAAGTAGGCAGCCCCATTGCCGAAGATGAAGTCCACGTTGCCTTCGATGTAGGTCTTGAAGGTGAACAGATACCCCGAAATGTCGAGCGTGTCCTGGTTACCATAGATCTGGCACCCATACAAAGCAGCATACTTGCTGCTCTTCACTGCAAAGCCGAGCGAGGCGATGTCCTGAGTTTTACCGGCCGTGTTGCGGAAGTTGATGTTGTACGCATAGAAGTAATTACCGGTGGCATACACCGTGGCTCCGTCCGTGTTGCTGCCCTCTGTGCCCTGAGTGTCGATGCCATGGTTGAACTCGATTGAGACCTGGTTCTGCGAGTAGTCATCTGTAGCATTGCTATAGCCCATGAAGATGGTTGTGCCGGACTTATTCACGAGCAGCTGTTCGTTATAAATTCCCGGAAATATGAAGATGGTGGCGTTCGTCTTGCTGCTAGTCGGCGCAGCGTTCAGAGCATCTTGGATGGTCTGATAGGTTGTGGTTCCGGCGATAGGGCTCTTCGACACGATCAGGGAGCCGTATGGTGGGGTCGTGCCATCGACGGTGGAATTACCGCCTACAGTGATGTTCGTGGGGCCAGCAGGCGTGACGGTAGCAGGAGCTGGCGTCACGATGGAGTTCCAGTAGGTCATGTCAATCCATTCTGTTGAGTCCATCACTGAAGAAAGTGAGTAGCTGTCCGAAGTCAGGAGCGTGGCGAAGCCGAACGCCTGACGAGCGGCGACGTTGTTCTCCCAATTCGACGGACCGCTGTTGTTGAACTCAGCGAATGTGATAGCGCTAGTTCTTGGGTCCGTGGTACTCCAGATTTTCCATCCTGCGGGGGCAATTGTCGAGTCGATGTAGCTATTCTTGACCACCACAAGGGCATACGCAGAGTAGGGACGGCCCAGGTAGACCTTGTTCGTGAGATCATCGGCAACGCCAGGAGCAGTTGTGAACAGGCAGTTGTCGAAGATGTAGCCTCCAATAGCAGATGACGAGGCCCTGCTGTGGGCAGTGATAGCGGAAGACTTGCGCTTAGCGCCAATGGTGCAGCCTTTGAAATAGGCCTTTGAGTAGCCCCAGATGAAGTCAATTGCACCACCGATGTAGCAAGACTCATAGTACTGGTAGCCTGTAGTAGCGCCCGTGAGCAGGGTGTCTTGCCAGCCATCGAACGAGCAGCCATAGAAGGCGATGTCATTACCGTAGATAGAGGCTGCCAGCGTGACGTAAGACGCCTCGGCCCCATCAAGATTATCGGTGTTGATCATAGCGATATTGTAGAAGCTAATACGGCTCGAGGCTGTCTGTATAGTAGCGGTCTCGGCATCCGAGTGTCCTGCGGGTAGCGGTGAGACGGAGAGACCACGCGAAAATGTGATCGTGACGGTATTATCCTTGTAGGACTGTCCCGGGGCACCAGCAGTGTACCCGATGATTCTGATAGCACCGGGACGGTTGATGATAGGGACTTGCTCGTTGTAATTGCCCGAGTAGACGAAAATGGTCTGGTTCGTGTTATCCTTCGGCAGAGACGCAAGAGCTGCTGTGAGATTGGTGAAAGA